CAAAAAACGGAGGGAATATTTATTAAATGATATTCACCGTGCAGGCTCGCGTGCACGAAGAATTGGATGGAATTTTTGGCGATAGCGACAGACAATGTACATACCAAGATACTTTAGAAATGAAATATCTCGAAAGAGTTATTATGGAAACTTTGAGACTTTTCCCACCGGTACCTCTGATTGCCAGGACAGTTAATGAAGATGTAAAAATAGGTAAATTATCTGATTAAATGCAGTATTATAATGATAATATTTTAAAAACTCATTTATAAATTGAAGAGAGACATAGAGTTAATTTGTTTTATAGTTACAAAGAATTATGTTATTCCAAAGTCGACCACAGTAGTGATCGTACAATTCATGACGCATCGCTTAGAGAAATATTATCCGAATCCAACTGTTTTTAATCCAGACAACTTTTTACCGGAAAAAATGCAGCAAAGACATTATTACTCTTACATTCCTTTCAGTGCTGGGCCCAGGTATTTACTAGTTATTAATATTTTTTAGTAATAACTTTTTTTCCAGGTCTTTCCATGAGAAATCATTAAAAATTATTATAATTTACGTTTAATAAACATTTATGTTTGAAGCACATTAACATTTACAAAAATATTTTGTTAATAAATAACAAAATGTTATATTCGTTGACGATAGCACTGCATTTTTTGAAGGTCCTGCGTCGGACGGAAATATGCTATGCTGAAACTAAAGGTTTTGTTGTCGACAATATTGAGAAATTACCGTGTCATTTCCGAAATACCGGACAATGCTTTCCATCTGCGAGTTGACATTATTCTGAAAAGGCATGATGGATTCAAGATCAAACTCGAACCGCGCAAGCAAGTACCTTGTAAAGAAGAGTAATCGGGAATTAACGATCTTTCATTCGCGTAAAGCATCAACCAATCAAATATAAATATATTGCAATGGATTTCTTAGTAAGAATTATATTATATTTATTAATCTTTCCTGAGTAAGTACATTTCTCAAAAATAATTTAGTGCCATTTATTTTTCTAGAATAATATTAAGGATAAAGATGGAAAAATGAACATATTTTATGTATTATATTTAAAATACTAAAAATATCGTCAAGATACATTGTATTTTACAATTTATTTACAGATAAAACTATTATTAAATTGTCAATTTCTTTGTTAATTGTTAACAATTAATAATTAATAATAAAGTTAATAATTAAAATTAATCTACTTTAGAATTTTCATTTACTATATAATTTTT